GTGCAATCATCATCGCCAAGTGCGTTGCTGCATGACGCGCCACCCACAAGATTTCGCGCGGGGCCCCAAGATTTGGCGCGCGACCGCCCCGACAAAGATGTCACTGCAGGCCCCCGTCAAACGCAAGTACTTGTCACGTGTTCATGCGCGCAGGTGGCGGCCGCATTCGGTCGTGAATAATTGCTCCCAAACTCCCTATGGCAACGCGGCGGTGATTGATAAAAGCGATGGGCCCACCCAGGAATTTTACACACCACCCCGAAATATACACCTCGTGAATATGTGGTTATTTTGCGCATGTAGCCGCGTGCCAAAATGGCGCTGCACACGTGACGTGTCATTATCGCGAGATTCGACGCACCCTGCAACCAACCGCCGAAACTATAATCCGATTAGCCCCTTCTGACAGAAAACCAGCCCGCGGGGGTGATGTATATGTGTGTCCTGGATGTCGTAGCCGCTGCCTCACATAAACATTACGTGCGTGCACGTGGAAACCCTCCAGACCCAATCCCCCGCCAACGCAGAAACGAACGAAACCTTCCGAGAACCTCCGACGCCATCGGGAAGCCGCCCCCTATTCTCCCCCCATTCCGAGGGCAAGATCGATCGACATCGAATCGGGAAATCGGATCGGATCGAAACGTGCGCCGGATCGGGCCACAACGACACGGATCCGAAATCAATTCGAATTGGCTGCGACATACTGTGCAACAACGCCATGCAAACATCGGGCCGGAGGAAGGGATGGAAGGTGCTACGATACGGGGGACTGTCACATGGGAGGGAACATCGAGCTGGAATCGGCGATGCATCGCCGATAGATCGGCTATGGGCTCTCGATAGCGAAACCGCACAGTACCCCGCGAGGGATAGCGGGCCGCAAGCACCCGCGCCAGTCCGGGGGGCAGCACGCGGTGGGCTGAGCGGGGCAAGGGCTGTGCACCCCAGCAGGGGGTCAAACCTTCAGGTGCGTCGAAGCCCGTGGGAGTGGCGGCGGAACGAGTGAGCGGCGACTGGTCAGCAGTGCGCGCCGCGGGACGGGCACGCAGAAAGCAGACTGAAGGCAGTCAGCCGAGCGACGACACCAGTGAGTAAGCCAGCTGGCCATGCAGGCGCTCGACGGACGGGAGTCCGGATCGCCAGGACCGGCAGGACGACGGAAGTGTCGGATCCCGCTCGGGAAGCAGAAGGGAATGCTACCCGTACGGTAGGGGGCGTACCGAGAGGCCGGCGGACCCCAGGCGGACATTGGGAGGCCGCCGCAAGCCGAGAGCCGCGATGGGCGGATGGGCCGTGGTGGCGAGAGGGGAGGAGAGGGCAGGCAGGCGCCCAGCAGTGATGGCCCGCGCCCGCCGTGCGGCAGGAGGGAAAGAGATGAGCCCAGGCGGCGCCTTTTGTGCGGAGCATTTTTCGCACCTATTATATTATTAGGTCTGTAGCTACAGTATTACTCGTCTTGAAGCTGTTCCTATTGCTGCTTTCCCTGCTTCTCATATTCGCCCTTCTTCCTTTCCGTCTTCTTCTTCTTCTGCGGTTTCTTATTCTGGCCCGAACACTGTTAACCAATTCGTGATGACCGTGGCTGTGGTGGCCGTGACCATGGTAGCCGTGGTGGCTGTGGCCGTGACGGCCGTGCTGTGGCCGTGCTGGCCGTGGCCGTCGTGGCCATGGCCGGTCGCCATTGCCGTGGTGGCCGTTGCCGTGATGGCCGTGACTGGCCGCTGGCCGTGGTGACCGTGGCCGTAGGCCGCTGGGCGGGGGCACCGTGGCGAAAGGGGCCACAGCAGTGAAACGCCTCCGACGCGACTGGTGCCCAGGAGCCAGAAGCGGGAGCAGAGGCGTCGAAGGAGCCCCGTGCGGCCCACGCGGGGCGTGGGGCAGGGGGGTTGGCCTGGCGCCAGAGAGCGAGGAGCCACAAGCTAGACCAACGACAAGGACGCACCGGTGGGCAAGGAACCAGCCAGACCAGGCGCGAGCCGTCAGCCCCCGCTGGGGCGCGCGAGCTAGACCAGCGACAAGGACGCACCGGTGGGCAAGGAACCAGCGAGACCAGGCGCGAGCCATCAGCCACAGCCGGGGCGCGCGTCTGGCAATATTGGGCGCGAGGTTGGGCCAAGGCGGCCCCCGGAGGGGCCGCGGAGAGGGCCGGCGTGGGGACCAGCGGGCAACGGCGGGGAGAGAAGAGGGCGAGGGCGACACCCCAGCCCACGCGGCGCAGAGCACGGAAGCGACCCGCGCTCGCGGGAGTGCGTGAGGAGGGCGGGAAGCGCGCAGAGCGCGGGGGGTCAAGAATCTTCGACAGATCATGCGGAATCCTTGGATATGCTCCACGAGCCGCCAGGGGAATGTAGCGCAGATGCAAGAAATCCGCGCGGACCTCCGAACATGAATGCTTTTCAATAATTGTGTGCAATATCTTTCTTCTTCGGGTGCAAAGAGGAGCGGGAGGGTGGCCTGAAACTCCCGGAAGCTGGAGTTCGGCGTGAGGCCAGGGTACCTGCCGCGGGGGAGCGGCCGACGCCGCAACACGAAGACGGCCGTTATCTAGACCCCCGGCCCCGAACCGAACGAGCTTCAAGTTGTCCAAGTCATCTGACTTCGCGCCCTCGCGCCCCGCGGTCACGTTCGCGCCCGCGCTGGGCCTCGGGACCGTCAACAACCAGCTCAGGATGAACAGCTGGTCACAGGACAAAGGCCGTGACTCCGTATAGAGAATCCGATACAGTCATTGCGCGACCATAACCAAGGTGGCGTTAGCGGCGATGTTGGTTAACGGCGATGTTGGGAATCCGACTTTTGTGACACCGAGCTCGCGCAGAACAAATTGTAGGAAATCACGGAACACCGTTTCCTACACTTCGAACATGCGGACGTATCGAACGAAAACGACACAGCGAATCGTAGGGAAGCACGAATCACGCGTCGCTACAATTGGTTTGGCCACGTACCATGCTTTCCTACAATTGGTTGTCCTACATCGCCGTTCGCAAAAACACCGTTAGCGCGTCTACGGAATAAGGAACGCGGAATAAGGAACGAAATGGCTCTTCTTGCCACGGCGAGCCTCGGCCACGAATAGGATCATAGAACTAGTTCTGGGGACTGATCCGAAAAACAGAGCCCCTCTTTCTTTCAACGTCTTGACTGTACATCGGATCTTTGGAATGAAGGGTATCTGGACAGGAGCTGGGGCGGGAGGTCTCGGATGCTCAGTGGATCGCCTTGCAACTCCACACCCGAGAGGCACCCAGCACAGGACAACACTCCAGCGTGCTACCGCCCCGGGTCGGTTTCTCTCCGATGGGGTTTCGGTGGCGGTGGTCCTCGTTTCTTTGTTGTACGGTTCGAAAAAAACAGTTCTCGCTGGAGAATACGCACCCATATTGGAGGCAATTTAAGCCCAAGAGAAGACGTTGCGCCACTGCTGGATTCATTCTCCCAGACTCTGCGATCTAACATGCGCAACGTTGTGCTCAGCGGCGCCGAATTACTCATCCTGGCTTTCCCCAGACGTCGCATGACATGACATGAGGCGGGCGACACGGCATGGCAAGGAACAAACTCTTCAATATCGCAACGACCGATGCATTGATCCTTCAAAAATACGTGCGGCCGATGGGCGAACACTCCGCTCAGCCTGTGGCGCAATTGAGGTGTCTGCAAGCGTCCAGAGAGTTCCAGGACACGACAAGCACGCAGACAACCACGACCAGAAATGATCAAACACAAACAAATACTGTCAAAAAATAAGCAAACATAGACAAGCACCAGAAATACCGTGTATCTAGACACATGTCACCACTAGTGCTTGCAAATCGGGGTTCTTACTTCTGGAAGAAAGAAACTGGGACTACGGGCCTGTCTGGCGGCTATGTACTCGCCGTCACCGCCCCGTCGGCGCCTCGTCGCCGCCCTCTGTCTGAGCCTTCTGGGCGGTCGACGCCGCCCCGTCGCCGCCCTTCGTCTGGGCCTGGCTGTCGTTTGGCGGTTACATGCTCGCCGTCGCCGCTTCATGTTGCACCAGAATTCATAATCTTCTAAAAATTGTAACCTGCCGCGCCCCCACCCCTGGGCGGATAATAAAACGGATCCCAGCCACCTCGGACCGTTCACGAACCATTTAACACCGTTTACAACCTCTGGGAACGGACTGACCGCAACGTGCAGGATTCCGATTATAATCAGATGACCCTCGTGGACTTCCGAAGGGTTCCTGCGGATTCCTACAGGATTCTGGCGGATCCCCGAAGGATTCCTGAAGGACTCTGGAGAATTCCCGAAGGATTCTTGAGGAATCCTTCGGGTTTTCTGGAAATGCTTGAAGATTTCTAAAGCATCCTTGAGGACTCCTTACGGGTTCTTGAGGATTCCTGCAGGATTCTTGAGGATTGCTGAACCATTCTTGAGGATTTCCGAACAATTTTGGGGGATTCCTGATTCTTGAACTTGCTGGATGATTCTTGAGGACTCCGGAAAGACTATTGAAGATGCTTGCTTTTCCCTGCAGGATCCCCACCAAATTCCCGAATGATACTTAACGGGCTCCTGAGAGATTCCTGACGGATCCCCGTCGGAATCCCGAAAGATCCTAGAGGGACCTTAGAAAGATTATTTCCAACCCTGCCTTGGTCGGGCACTCGCTTTGAATAGAGCGCTGTCTGCGCCGTCCTTTCCTTTCTCCTTTTCCTCGCCCTCCTCTTCCTGCCTCCTCCTGTTTCCCTCCTGTCCCTCTCTCCAGCCTGTGTCCTGCCTCGTGCCCGCGGCTCGCTCGGGTGTCGTCACTTGCTGCGCACCAGAGGTGCTGGGGGCTGCTGGGAGGCCCAACGGAGGTACGTCTCACGCAAATCACTGCAAGACCTCGCCGTCCTCTGGGGGGCTGCGATCTGCGAAACTGTGACCACTTCCACGGGCTCCTTGGAGGCCCAGCGGAAGTACATCTCACGCAAGTCACCACGAGACCTCGCCATCCCCTCGGGGGCTGCGATCTGCGAAACTGTCGCCACTACCATGGGTCCCCGGGAGCCCCAGCGGAAGTTCGTTTTACGGAGATCACAGCGTGGTCTCAAGTCGTGTTCCTGCTAAGTGGGCTTCTGTTCTGCTAAGTGGGCTCCAGATGTGTTTGATCCAGTTGTCAGCTCCGCCTCCTGCTGCTGGTCTTGTTTTTCCTCCTCGTCGTCCTCCTCCTCCTCCACTTCCTCCTGTCCTCCTCCCCTTCCTTCCTCTTTTCACGTCCTACTACCACCTCGTCCTCTCCCTCCTCCTCCTCCTCCTCCCTGCCTCCTCCCCCTCCCCCTCCTCCTCCTCCTCCTCCTCCTCCTCCTCCTCCTCCTCCCTCCTCCTCCCCCTCCCCCTCCTCCTCCTCCTCCTCCTCCTCCTCCTCCTCCTCCTCCTCCTCCTCCTCCTCCTCCTCCTTGCCTCCTCCTCCTCCCCTCCCCCTCCTCTGCCTCGTCGCCCTTCGGCGGCCTATAGCGGCTGTCGGTGGCTTTCGGCAGCCCCTGGCGGCCTTCGGCGGCCCTCGGCGGCTTTCAGCGGCCCTCGTCGTGTTCCTGCGAAGCTCGCTTCCGATGTGCTTGATCCTGTTGCCAGCCCCGCCTCCTGCTACTGGTGTTGCACTGTGGTTCATGCCAAGTTGCACGGAGAAACCTGGAAAACAACTCCACATCCTCCTCATCGCGCTCCTTCTCTCCCTCGCTCTCTCTCTCTCTCTCTCTCTCTCTCTCTCTTTTTTTTCTCTCTCTCTCTCTCTCTCTCTCTCTCTTTTATCCCGCATCCTCCACAGTGGAAGCCTCTGTCTCATGCCCATCTGCACTTGCATGTTGCATATGCTGCATTGCACTTGCATGGAATGCCATTGCATTGCATTGCATTGCATTGCATGGCATTACAACGCATGGGATTGCATTTCTGTTGCGTCACTTCCCATTGCGCTGCGTTGCGTTGCGTTGAGAGTTCCTCGCAACTCTGGGCTCCGAGTTGCCAGGGGCAAGGTGGCCTGGCCCATTTCGCCTGACTCATCCTCGCAACTCTGGGATCCAAGATGCCACGCGCGAAGTGGTCCAGTCCATTTCGCCTGAGACGTCCTCGCAACTCTGGGCTCAGATATGCCCCTAACCTGAGGATGTCCAGCCCGTTTCGCCTTAGACATACTCGCAACTCTTGGCTCAGACATGCCGAGCGCGAGGTGATCTGGAAAAGCTTATTTCAGACATTCTCGCCTGAGACATCCTCCCCAACTCTGCGAGATGCCGCGCGCGAGGTGGTCTGGCCAATTTCGCCTGCGACATCTTCGCAACTCTGGGCTCCCAGATGCCGCGCGCGAAGAGGTGCGACCCGGCTCGCCTGAGGATCCTTGCAAATCCGGGCTCATATATGTCCTGGATTGATGTGGTTCGGGCCCATTTCGCCTGAGACCTCCTCGCAGCTCTGGGTTCCGAGATACCTCTCGCGAGGTGGTCTGGCCCATTTTCGCCAGAGGCATCATCGAAACTCTGGAATCGGAAATGCTCTGACTGAGTTGGTCTAGCACGATTCGCCTGTGACAACCTCGCAACTCTGGGCTCAGATATGCCCTGACCTGAGGTGGTCTGGCCCCATTCGCCCGGGGCATTCACGCGACTCTGAGACCCGAGATGCCAGGCGCGAGGTGGCCCAGTTAAACTCGCCTCAGACCTCATCGCAACTCTGGGCTCCGAGATGCCGCGTGCGAAGCGGTCCGGCTAATTTTGCCTGCGACATCTTCGCAACTCTGGGCTCCAAGATGTCGCGCGTGGGCTCAGGGATACTCTGACATAAGGTGGTCCAGCCTGTTTCGCCTGGGACATCCTCGCAACTCCAGGCTCAGAGATGCCGCGTGCGAGGTGGTCGGGCCCGTTTCGCCAGAGACATCATCGAAACTCTGAGATCGGAAATGCTCTGACTGAGCTGGTCCGGCACGATTCGCCTGTGACATCCTCACAACTCTGGGCTCAGATATGCCCTGACCTGAGATGGTCTGGCCCCATTCGCCCGGGGCATTCACGCAACTCTGAGATCCGAGATGCCAGGCGCGAGGTGGCCCAGTTAAACTCGCCTCAAACCTCCTCGCAACTCTGGGCTCCGAGATGCCGCGTGCGAAGCGGTCCGGCTCATTTTGCCTGCGACATCTTCGCAACTCTGGGCTCCAAGATGTCGCGCGTGGGCTCAGGGATACTCTGACATAAGGTGGTCCAGCCTGTTTCGCCTGGGACATCCTCGCAACTCCAGGCTCAGAGATGCCGCGTGCGATGTGGTCGGGCCCGTTTCGCCTGAGACATCTTCTCAACTTTGGTCTCTGAACTGTTGTGGCCTGAGGTGATCTGGCCCATGTCGCCAGAGACATCCTCACAACTCTGGGATCGAAGATGCGACGCGTGAGGTTGTCTGGTCCGGTTCGCCAGAGACATCTTCGCAATTCTGGGCTCAGAGATGCTCCTGACTTGAGGTGATCTGGTTCATTTTCGCCTGAGAAATCTTCGCAAC